GTGTGTGTGTGTGTGTGTGTGTGTGTGTGTGTAGGGGGCATTTCCTAACTCGTGCCCAGAGGTAGGGAGTGAGCTGGCAGAGAGAGACTGAGGGGGAAGCCTGAAGCAGATTCATGGAGCAAAACAGCAAGGCGAGCCTACAGCCTCTGAGAAGTGAGAACCAGAGAGTGAGGGGAGAGGCGGGGGTGGGGAGCAAGAGTGTACCCCTCTTCCTGGTTCCCCACAAGCAGGGAGCACACAGGGAAGGGGACAGAGAAGGGGGAGGAGAGCGGAGAGCCCCCAGGGTCGGGCTGGTTAAGGGAGCCGGGATGGAGGCAGGAGAGGCTGTGGTGACCTGGTCTTCTCAGCAGGCAGGTGGGCCTCAGCTCTGGCGACCGACCAGTCTTGCGGAAATGTGGATGCCAGATCATCCGATTTTTCAAGAGAAACCAGAAATCTAGAATTGTATGCAACATCTCCCAATTTGAAAAAGAAAAAATAATAACAGCAACAACAACTACGACCTACCATGCAAAGGCAAACTCTAAAAGGATTTTCACGAAACTGCTAACAGTGGCTGTCGCTAGGGAGGGCAACTGGGCGTCTCCCACCCCACTCCCAGCCCCTCCCTGCGTCATTTGTCTCCTTAGTACTGGGTATCCCCAGGATCCGTGTTTTGAAAGAAGTTTCTTTTCATTCTACATCACTGGCGACTTTGTGCCAATTATTTGCATGTACTTCTAGTCAACAGATAAATACTTAAGAACATTACCAACCAAAACCACAGTGAGGGTCAACAAAGTAAGTATGTGAGCTGGACTTGGTAGGGGTCTGTGACCTCAGGTGACGGGTCAGTGCAGCAGCTTTGCCAGAGAGGAGGGCCTTTGGCCAGCCCCACACTCCACTGGGCGCCGGATCCCAGGCCAAGCTGGGGTGTCCAGGCCGGCCGAGGGCATGGCCCGTGCTTGGCAGCCCAGCACGCCCCCGGTTCAGCCTGGCAGAGTGCGGAGGATTAATCCTGTGAGGCTGCATTGGGGCTGGCTGGGAAAACCAGTGGCCCAGATGCAACCCTGACTTGCTTACGAAAGCACCTCCCAACACACAGGCTTCGCTGATGGCATTTTGTTTCTAGCTCAGCTGGCAACCCCCAATCCGTTCTGCTCCCTTCTGTGAAAACACACCGATGTTCTCCAGGCCCCGGTCCCTGGGCACAAATCCCTTCTCCGAGCAGGTGCCGCCGAGCCTCCCTGTGATGCTTGCCGGCTGAGTGGTACCCACAGCCTCCCCGGGACTGGTGCACACTGGTCCCTTCCCAGCTGTCTGCTGTCAAGCTCCCGCCTCCCAAAAGCACTCTGATCTCCCTGATGGGGAAGCCCCCATCATGAGAGCCAGACAGCCTGGGTGTGCCATGGACTGGTTACTGAAACGGTGACTCAATTTCAATCTGTAAAATGGGGATAATACCACCTACCTCACGGCCACTATTAATACCATTCCTTCATGTATCTGTGGCAGGAGCTCTAGCGCTCCCCCTAATGACAGAAGCACAGCCCGGCGTGGGCACAGGACCCCAGCTAAAAGCACGGAAGGCTGCAGGGGTGAGGCGTGTGGACCTGGCTTTTCCCGAAGTGACCTGCTGGGGACCCTTGGTTCCTTCCCCCCAGCGTTCCTTGGCTCCTGTCTCTTTTCTGTGATTGCTCCTCTGGCCTCCTGTTGATTTGGTAAGCCCCTGATAAATTCCACTTCTGCTCAAGACTGTCAAGTGCGGCTTCTGCTGCTGGCACCTGAGGACCCTGACTAGTGCTGTGTGCGAGGAATCGGCCGGGGACGGTGGCGGGAACAAACAGGGCGGAGACAGCAGCACAATGAGAAGCAAGCCGCAGTGGGCGAGTCAGGTGGGATGCACTTGGCTGCAATTAACAGAACACCATCCAACTCGGTGGCTCGGGTGATGAAGACATTTCATTACCTCGTGTGACAAAGTGGCCAGATACGGCAGCCCTGGGCTCACACCGTGGAACGACGGCAGGTGCTGTCTTTGTCCCCCTCCTCCACCCGCCTCCCTCCTGTGCTGCTGGCTGACATCTTTGGCTTGTGGCCTCATGGTTGTGAGCTGGCGGCCACAGCCATGCTTCTCCCTGAACCACGGGCAAGACGGAAAGAGAGGGATGACGTAGGAGTGTTCTTCTGACCCATCTGCCCCTGATCAGGAAGGAAAATCTTTGCCAGAACATTCCCCCACCTCAGCAGAATTTCTTTTATGTCTCATTGGCTAGAACGTGGTCACTTATGGCCACTCCAGGTGCCAGGGAAGCTGGCAAAGCCAGAATCTGTTATCGTCCTTGGGCCAGTGAGGACGCGTCCCGGCGGCTGGCCACGCGGGTCCCTGAAAATGTCTGCGTCTCTTAGAAGAGCAGGCCACCTGGGGTGTATCTGCGTAGACGGCCCCTGACTATCGCTTGTGAAGAAGCTGGGAACTCTGAGCTGAGTGGATGTTCCCTTATGAGGCCCCAAAAGCCTGGAGGCTGGAACAGCAGGAAAACAGATGAGCGCCACAGCCTCAGTGTCCCAGCTCTGAAGGGCCCTGCTCTGTGGGGCCACAGTGTCTGCCAGAACCTCCCAGGGCGGAGCAGAAGGGAAAAACACAAGCCGTCCAGTGCTCAACACACGTGGTTTGCTTCCCCAGCCTCCATGACTCCTTTTCCCAGCAACAGCCCAGATTTCTCTTTGGGAACCTGCCCTCTCTGACTCCCACCCAATGGGCTAGAAGAGGGGCTCCTCTGGAGCTTGAGAACAAATCATGTGACCTGATCAGAACCAGTGAGACCCACTGTTGTCTCTACCAGGAGTCCTGGGGACGAAGACTCTGCTTTCCCCTCTTACCCTGAGTCTGAGGATGTGAAGGACGGAATCACTGCAGCAATCTTGTGACCATGAGGGGAGAACCATCAGTGAAAGGGGCTGAGAGTCAGAGGGAATCTGGGGGCTGTAGTCATCATTTGAGTCTCTGCATCAAGCTAGACCTGAAGCCAGCACTATTTCTCTTCCCACCACTGGACCGTTTAGAAACAAAACAACAACAAAACACATCTATAATGGCAGCTACCAGGAATATGATCCTTCTATGGGCCACGTCCTTCTCTAAGCACTTGACATTTGTTATCTCTCAACACTCATAACAACCCCATGACGTAGCTATCGTAGCTATCGTTATCTCCATTTTACACCTGAGGAGACCGAGGAAGGGACAGATGAAGTAACGTGC